ATAAATATATCTAGAATAAACTTAAGACCACTAGTTTTTAGAGTATTAATAGACTTTTCTGGATATGTGTAGAACAATTTTACTTAAAATAATCAGTTGTGACAGATGAACTTAAAATAAGGACTATAAAAGTAAATCTTAAGAGAGATTACATTTGTTTAAGTTGTTTGGTATTAAGGTGTTAACATTTGACTTGAGTGAAATAAGTCTATAAGAACAATTTATTTTTTCTTAAACCATTTATAGAGAACTATTATCTAAATCAATACCATATTAAGACTGTTTATAGGTGTAACAGTTTTAAGGCGTATAAAGTGTGCTCCTTGGGTATGCATTGAAATTTCAAAACGTGTCCCAAACGCGTCGGAATCTCGTCTAAATTATTCAAATAGCATCTTATCTCTAGGCTGCTACATTCGCCTCCTTGTCACGTGATTAATGTCAAATTTTATTAAATTCCATGCAAGCTTTGGACAGGCATAAATTCTTACGACCTTTGCTTTTAAGAACGTCTAGATCCTGGAGACTATGGCAGGAACAAAGTATGTTAATAGCAGTTTTGAAATTATTCAAGTGGCACTTCACTTCAAATTGAGATTTCGGGCGAGCAATTTATTGTTGGAGAGGTAAGGGCTCGTGTATGGAGAGGCTCTACGTTCGTGGTACGCCGTGTGATGGGGCTAATTGAAACAAATGGAGATATATGCAAGTGTTCATGCTGAAGCGAGCTCATCAACGCTTCGCTTGAAGTGCACTGAAAATCGGCCACCGACCGTCGCAAACAAAACTTTGTAATAGAATAGATGGGTACAAATAAGGGACCAACAAAAACCGATTGTCTGCGCTACGCCTTAGATTCCGTTCGGCGAAGAAACCGAATCGGTGTCACAAAATTAGTGATAGATACGGGTTCCCCCGCCGCCGGGCGCCGCATTCGTCACACACCTCTACTACACGGAATCCGCGAGACCTGCTGCGTGACCTTAGTGCAAGTACGTGAAGTAGGTACTCCCCAAAAATTGCTAGATTTACAATCTAAATTTGTTCATATGTTTACGCTATCTTATATATATCTAGATATATATCGATAATAGTTTAAATTCCCTCCCCCATATACCGGAGGTTCCAAATATTTTATATAGCACGATATTTAATTGCATTAAAAATTAATTTGGAAAGTTATTTACATCGAAAACTCTAACTTTCCACAGGGAGACTAAATTCAATGACTGGGCAACAGTACGCAATCATAAGAATAGGTCTCGTTTGTATGAGTTATATGCTATGAGAACTTATAATACTAACTCCAGTTTTATAGAACATGTTAAAAATTATTCAAAAATATTTAAAAAAGCATGTGTAGCTGCTAAGGTTATAGAGATTCCTGAATTAGACGGCAAACTTATTAAATCAAAAGATGAGGTAGCCCAAGCTCTTCAATCATTCTTTTCGGGAAATCACCGTGAACACTACAAAATCATTAAATTCCTTTCCATCTCTTGCTACTGATCTCCTAAAGAAAAATGTTAAAGTTTGTGGCAGTGTATTTAATTTTCATCGTGTTAATTCAAAAGAAAGCTTTTAAATGTATACCTACATGTTAAAAAAACTGAAGATCTCTGGGGCATATCGACTAAAGTTATAGGACTCGGTAATTTATCTAATTTCCACACATCTAGCTGATGCATTCAATAGGTGTGTTGACGAAGGTATTGTTCCCGATTTGATGAAATACAGTAAGGTTATTCCTTTATTCAAAAGCGGTAGAAAGTTGATCCTAGTTACTATAGGCCCATTTCAATTCTACCAGCTTTTAGTAAAATATTCGAAAAGGTTACGTTGATTCAACTACTGTCGTGTTGCGGTAGGAATCATATTTTTCGTAGTGAACAATATGTGTTTACTAGTGGTAGATCGACTAGCGATGCGGGGGTAACACTACTAAAACATATCTTTCATGCTTGGGAAAGGTCCCAAAACGTTATTGGGGTTTTCTGTGACCTCTCAAAGGCATTTGATTGCGGGGATCATATTACTCTTATTAGGAAGCTGGAATATTACGGAGTAAGCGGCAAGGCGTTGAAACTTGTCTCGTCATATCTTAACGGTAGAATACAGAAAGTAGATATAAATGGAGTGATTTCTTTGGGTTCTCCGGTAAAAATGGGTGTTCCGCAGGGCTCAATACTTAGGCTTTTCTTATTTTTGATTTATATTAATGATCTACCATTATTTATTAAATTACCTTTGCGAAATAGTATTGTTTGCTGACGACATATCCTTGATTTTTAAAACAGACGGACATGACGCTTACTATAACAATATTAATGATGCCCTTTCAAAAGTAGTTTGTTGGTTTAATATTAACAATTTATTGCTCAATGCCAAGAAGATAAAGTGTTTTAAATTTGAATTACCGAATGTAAAATCGACTAGCCCAATCGTAGAAAAAAATTGAGAAAAGTTAGACCTTGTTAATAAAGCTGTCTTGACTTAAAACGGTCTTAGACGGTAAACTCCAATGGTTTCCACATATATCTTCCTTGGCCAGCAGATTAAGCTCTGCTGCATACGCAGTAGAATACGTGAACTTACCGATGTTGCATTGCTAGACTAGTTTCCTTTAGTTACTTCCGTAGTAGGTATAATGTCCTACGGGATTCTCATGTGGGGTAAAGCAGCAGATATAGGTACAAACCATATAGTTATATGTTGCAAAAACGAGCGATTCGTTATGTGTACCGTTTAGGTTCTTGGATTTCTCTCAGAGAACAGTTTAGGGAGACTGGTGTCATGACTGTGGCATCACAGTACATTTACTCAAATATTTTGTATGCCCGTAAAAATATACATAACTTCGTTAAAAAAGAAGATATCCATAATATTAACCTTAGAACTAAGTCCAAACTCATGGTACCACGTTTTCGTTTAACTAAGGTAAACGATTATTTTATGGGTAATTGCATACGTTTTTACAATAAGATTCCGGAGCATATATTAAGTTTACAATTTCCTAAGTTTAAAACTTTCATTAAAAATTGTAGACTACGTGTTAGATAAAGATGTATGGAAAGACAACGCGAGTCTATATTCCACACAAATATGATTTAAAATGTATTCTATAGCATTTAAGTTTATTTGAAAAGAGCAATCCCTAGAGTTTCTTGCTCGTTCTTCTCAGTGAGGTCAGCGTAGTGAACGAGCAGTAGCTTAAAAAATTGACGTTTTCAAGCGTAAAAATTTAACCTATGGAATTGTAAGTCTTCTTCTTCTTCTTCTTTTAAATGTTATGGCTCCATCGAAATAATCAATGATTTTGCCAATGTCAAGTAAAAATAACTATGTACGGTAGTTTAATATTATAATAAAAATTATACAAAAAAAATGGCGATTGCGCCAATGTCCTCATTTCCCTTCAAAACGAATTGTAAGTCAATGTATGGAATAAACATTAACTTACAAATAAATGGACGACGGGTCTAATACAAAAACCACGAAAAAAATGTCCCAAGTCAACCTATTCGAAATTTAAATTATTATGTCATCGCAGTATCGCGCTGTCCGTAGAACAAATGAAGACTAAAGCGGAGTGTCGCGCTCTGTATACGATTTTAGCGCCTTACAAGTGCGGACACTTTTTAGCGCGGACCCGACGTCCATATAATTGTAAGTCAATGGGAATAAATGATTATTTGACTTTGACTTTGACATTAATAAAAATCAGTTCAGTATTTGTAAAATGACAGCTATTGTGTAATTTTTCCATTGTCAGCCTCCCCAAGGCTAGAAAACATAAGATTATTTAAAATTTTATTCATCAGGGTTGAATATTTATACATTGTGATGTCGCCTTCGGAACAAAGTCGCCATACACTAATTCATAAAAGGTATCAAAAGTAAACAATCTCTAAATACCAGTAATCTGTTCTCCTAATTGTTATGACGAGGGGAACGGGTGAGAGGGGAAGGGGCATATCGCGACAAGATTGCCAGAACTTTAATTATGTTTTTGTGTAAGGCAACAATGGAGCGCCAGGTGGGGGTTCGCGCTCTGTTGAGGTGACAAACAAACAGCGGAACAGAATATTTATTATATAATTTATACAAGGAATCTTACTTGAAGCAGCTCTTTAAGGTGACAAATGTTTAGGTGTACTGCTTCAGTTTACAAAGCAATAGCCAAAATTACCGGCTGAAAAGCAATATTTTCAAGTGAAACCAATCGTAAGTAATGTTATCCATCAGCGTGACCGAGCATTTTACAAAGCACCCCAATATTCTTTTAACTTGCACCAAACGCAAATTTTTGTTTACCGTGCCCCTAAAACGGTTTTGCTTAAATTTCAATTTAGCGGCGGCTGAGGTGCGAATAAAGAAGTAATTTCGTGAGGCTTTAATCGCACCCTCGCTGCGAACGGCACCGACCTCGGGCTCGCTGTAATCGGGCTCGGCATTATCACCCCTCATCGCGCTGAAACGCTCGCTGCTTATTCTTGATAAGAGACTTCCGTTTGCATACAATTGCTTTCGTAAGACAATGTGCTTAGCTACCTTCTAAACAAATATACGGTGTGTTGCAAAGGTCAAACGGAATCAAATTTCTTAGAGTCGTCACGCATTGAGATAAATGTTTGGTGATGACGCCAAGAACACCCAGAAAGCACTTTTATTTCCATTCGTCATCAGCGTCAATCTTCAAAAATACGTCTTACTGCTGTGGACTTAACTCCTCAAATTAGGGACACCCTGGTCCAGTGCGGTTTGGGAAATTCACTCGTTTTTCAAGGGTTGTGAACTTTCCTCGACGTGCAATTTTTTCAAGATGCTTTATTTCACCGTGGGCTATTGCTGCTAGACATTTGAACGGTTTGAGATACTTCGGGTGTACTATTAGCAGAATAAATTATACCTACAACAGCTATGTTGTGACACGCTTGCCATATACGGCTGGTCGGCTGGCGGGTTCGTGTTCTTTTGTTTAGCTTTTACTTATAGTATAGATGGCATGCAGTACAATGCTTGCCGTCGTGGTGAAAGGATTTGCCAATTGGCGTAAGGTACTCGTCGACTGTTGCCCAGGGTGTGCCAGACGTACAGGATCGGATGGTACGTCGTACGGGGAGGCTCCTTTCGTGCACCCCTTTTTCGCCGACTTCAAACCCGAAGGAGGAGGAAGGAGGACAGTATTTTTTTGTGTATTTTACGCGATTACTCGATTTGTGAATCGATTTTGATGATTATTGGTCCCATTAAATTTTGAAGAAAATATTCCACCTCTCAGGGTGGCAAACTAGGGAATGCATGCGGTTTCGCGCACTTTCCTTTACCGATTACAATAAAACTTGGCAAAGAGATGTAAATTCCTCGTAAAAAACTTTTCAGGTCGGTTTTTTTTTATTAAAAAGTTGTAATGGTTAGCTGATTATGCTAGAGCTTACTAATAAATTAACTTCGACCTGGACTGTTTATTTTTCAATAGCTATACATAATGGTTATCAGCAGAAAGACTTCCACCGATTAACACGCTAATGACTACTTCTAATGTCCTCTTTTGTTTTGCAGAATGCGGCAAGAGACGCGTAACAGCAACAGCGACGAAGCGCATAGTGGGCGGCACTCAGGCGTCGCCGGGCGACTGGCCGTTCCTCGCCGCCATCCTCGGCGGGCCCGAGGAGGTCTTTTACTGCGCGGGAGTACTCGTCGCGGACCAGTGGGTGCTTACTGCCTCGCATTGTGTTGGCAAGTGAGTGTACAATTTCAACAATACACATATCTTGTCTGAGATCTTAAAATGGGAAGTATATTTTATATGATAAATCAAGTTTATATCCGAAATAAAAAAAAATCTCGCTTTACGCTTTATTATAGTATCCCGTTGCCTCTCAATGAGTCCAAAGGGCTGTGGTAGTGTACTTTTTCTTTGATTATGACGAATAATTCGTAGCCCTATTCGTGGAGCTGGTGGTAAGCGACACGCCTGCGTATGACAGTTGCAGTACCACCCAAAGCTTTAATTGCAAGGATCTGAGGGGCACAATCACTGCGACATATGTGCTGTAGCTGCAGCAGCACACTTAACTTTTAAAACTCGAACGCGGTAATGCTGACATTACTTCTACAGAAAAAAAAAGAAGCGGCAGAAATAGGTGTGGTGGCAGTATCTACTTCCCTGGATGAACTCCTTTTGAACGAAAACTTTTACAAGTAGTAGTGGTAGATGCTACTAAATTCTGAATTAAAATAATCATAAAAACATTTATATGGAGTCTCGAACCCGCATTGGACATATGTGGCCGACTATAGCCTAAACCCTTTCTGAAAGGAGAGCTGTGCCCGTCAGTAGGGCGTATAATGTGCTGATGTACAGTCAACAGCACACCAAGCTACATATCGACGTATCTCGTTGCAAAGGAGGCGATTTTCGAACAAAAATATGTGGTCTGATATCTATGGTCTGATGTACTGTTGTCTGTGTCATAATGAAAACGACAATGATTGTGCTTTAGTCACTCGGACGTGACCGGTTGGACGATCCAGTTGGGCATAACGCGGCGGCAGGCGCACGCGTACTACGGGCAGAAGGTGAAGGTGCGTCGCGTGGTGCCGCACCCGCAGTACAATCTCGGTGTCGCGCACGACAATGATATCGCGCTCTTTCAGGTAATAAGACAACTCTCATATTCCGGCTACCTTCGTAGAATTAACACCAACACATATCTGATCTGTAAAGACGGAGGGTTTGTCATGATTAACCGCTCCGGACAGGTGATTTCCCGATCGTTGTAACTTTGCTATTAATACAGAAGGATACGTTGACGTTCGTCTCCTGGAAAATCATTTCAAGTGCTGCTTGATTGTGATTATAAACTAGAGGAATCCCAACTCTCAAAAAATGTATCCGTCACTTGTATCTCTACACAAACTTTTTGCCCTATATGTGTGACGTCGTCAACAGCTGGCCGTGCGCGTACGCTACCACGAGCACCTGTCGCCCGTGTGCCTGCCGCCCGCGCACCGCGAGCTGCAGCCCGGTACGGTCTGCACCGTCATCGGTTGGGGAAAGCGCGACGACAAGGACAGTTAGTATTATTAATTATTATTATTCCAATAAGCTAGAAGTGTCAATTACAAGTTCCTTCTGTAAGTTCCTCCGCATTTTGAAAAATTTATAATCTTCTCAACTAGTTTTTGGGAACAAAAAACAAAGTTACCAGAAACGTAAAACCAGCAAAATATACTCGTACGTTTCAAATATATCCACCTGTAAACTTATATCCACCAGTGTCGGAGTATGAACCGTCCGTGAACGAAGTGGAAGTGCCTGTGTTGAACCGCGACCTTTGCAACCAGTGGCTGGAACATCGAGACCTGAACGTCACCGACGGTATGATCTGCGCCGGATACAAGGAAGGGGGCAAAGACGCGTGTCAGGTGAGATACTTTAATAAACAAGGATATTTTTTGTGGAAACTTTTTCACACGGTAATCCTAACAATAAAACAAACAATTTGTTTTCAACCACTTACGCTTTTGGAAATGCGCAGGCTACATACACAACATACCAGACTGTTAATACTTCCATTTTTATAGGCGAGGTATCTGCTGCGAGAAATTGCCCGAAACTGAAAACAATATTATATTAAATTTGTGAATCCGAGTGGAAACAGATAATTAGTTTAGTGAACAAATCGGGTTGGAATTCACTCCGAATTTAATTACGCATAATAAAGACGCGAGCTAAAGTAAACTCGACAAGCAACTTCTGGATTGGATTCAATCGGCTTACAACTTCGCTGATTTACACATCGACGGAGAATTCACGCTGCGCCCAGCGGCTGTAGTTACAAATGAGGAAAATTTTAATTTATAACTCCAGCATTTTCTTAATTTATTCCTCGTTTCATATTTTGTTGTAAAAGCTTTTACAGTTTTTTTAGTACCTTGTTTTATGGTATCTGTAACTTCAGGGTATTTAATTAGACCCGTATAAGTGTGTAAGTTATTCGACGTTCCAGGGTGACTCCGGCGGACCGCTCCTCTGCAAAGACCCCGACGATCCATCGCGCTGGTACGTGGGCGGCATCGTCTCTTGGGGCATCAAGTGCGCCCATCCGCGACTTCCCGGCGTCTATGCTTACGTACCCAAGTATGTTCCCTGGATCATGCGACAAATCGAAATGTATAACGACGATAATGCCATGTCGGACAACTCGATTTGAGGACGCAGGAGTAAACCCAAAAGAAGACGTATTAAACCTGGACATGACTTTAGTGGTTAGGATAGCGCTCTTGTGCGATATGCGTCACCAGTTTGCACGCCAGATGGCGCTGCGGTGCAGTGACGTGTAAGGCAAACGGAGCAAATTGTAACGGAGAAGTAATTTTTTTACGATGACTTTAAATTAAACGACAATAATTAAAGTAAACGACAATAATAATGAAAAATGTGTGACAATAAAGGCGAAATACTTGAAATGGCTAAATAATTTTACATATCACTCGAATATCGTGTGAAGTAAATTATGTGCAGCTGTGATACTATGAAATTCTTTGTAAAGAAATTTACCCGTAACTCGGTCAGGGTCGACTTTTGTGACTTTGGCCATTATTTCACGTTTCTCGATACTTTTTCTCGAGATTGTCGCGGCGTGTCGCATCTACATTTTTACTGTGTTTTGATGTAAGCGGCTTACATTAAGTGAAGTAGGGTTCCAAAGCTTTAGCCTACACTTTTAGGAGAGTTTTATAAATACCTTGATTTTTTCATTTCTATTCCATGTTGTTGGGCAGTTAGATGTTAAGTATATGTTTATTTGATGTTTGATGTTAGTAGTATTAGGGAGAAGTGCTTTTATAGCTTAGTAAATGAAGATGTTTTGTTTGATGTGCAGTTTACGTTTCCACTCCATTCGAAGTGGTTAGTTTAGCACTTTCATAAGACTATAAATACGACAATAATAAGCGTTTTCAATGTAAGTAAATGACAATAAAAAAAATCTAGTTCGTAATCAAACAACATAGACAATAACTTTAATTTTCGAAACACATTTTTACAAACGGAATTATATGTAACTATTGCTACTCATGATTTTTTCCCTGTATTCAGTTATACGATGAACGTATTTACTTATTGACAATAAGTTTAGGAAAGAAACTAGTAAAATAGCTTTAATAGACTGTAAGATAGATAATTAGTTCCAAAAAATGTAGTTTGGTGTAGATTTTAGACGTTTGTTTGTAGATTACGTATATTAGTCTCTACATAATTCTTGTTTTCATAATATAGATATACTATCCCTCTATGAAATATTGTTTTTATATAACGGCAGTGAAGCCTGTGGCTTTGTAAAGGAAAAATAGTAAACACTGTGCTCAAATATATTAATACATAAGTATGTGACATAGTAAATATAGATAAGGAGTATCTTTATTGGGCGTGTGCATATTTTAAAGGCAATTCGTTTACACATAAACAAACCGTTTTTATAATACTTAAAGTAAAAAGAAACTTTATTATAATTATAAAAAGTGTCTAATTATAACATGCCTCAAAATGATTAATCAATTTTATGATTACAATTACTGATTACATTTTAAGAATAATGAGAAATAATATAAAACGGTGTTAAATCCTTGCGATAATTTTATTCCCAAAGCTATTATAATCAACGAAACGCCTTTAAAAATGTCCACTTCTGTTGAAGACTCTGCCGTATATTACCATTAGTTAAGTACACAAAGTATGGTTGTCGACTTCTTATGAGTCCCTTCTCGAGCTTCGACTAGTGTATTCAACGTTGATCTTTACTATAGTGTCTTTAATACTTTATTTTGATGTTACGTGTATTAAATTAAACAACTACGGGATGAATAAATAATATCAGTTTTGAAAGAGGAAGTGTATTATGCATTAGATTTTGTAAGACAACGAAAATCAAATAAGTTAGATAATACACATTTGTTTCATCACTTGCAATGTTTTGTTTTGATTATGAATTTTAATCGTATATTTGTATTTGTACTTATACTTTCTTTTTCATTATTTTTCTACTCCTGTACCTACTTTAAACTGTCAATTAGAGATTCATAAACCATATCATAAAGGCGCTCTTTTTAGTTTTTAATCAAAATTCTATACTCTATGGTACTTGCCACAGAGCTGATAATTTTCATTAAAGTTCTACATACAGTATTATACACAATGAATATTATACTACTGGAAACAGAACCATAGCTAATTAAAATATAAATTAGGACGCTACTTAAACGGTATACTGTCTCCTGATTGGTTAAATTGGCCTAAAAGTCTTGCAACCGGGCCATAAATCTTTACAAAAAAAATATTCGTTAAAATTTATGCAGTACTTGGTCAGTTCTATTCTATCTTATTGTTTTTTTGTTTTGTAGCATTTGTTTCTGTTTCGTTTTCCATATAAATATACGAAGAGGCTGTATGGTGGAACCTTTTTAAATCTGCGCGCAAAAGCGCTTTTTGCACGCTAGCGTGGAAAAGGTTTTTGAAATTCGAACCTGACGATTACTAACTTTTTCCTTCGATGAAAAAAAAATCATAATGACACGTTCAACTACGTGATTTGTCGTACATTATATTATGTAATTTAGATCCGTTGGTATATTTTATTCTTATTATGATTGATATTAAATCGACCACGATAGGTAACTAATTTTGTTTATTAAATTATTTTAATTCGTCGAAGAACTAAAACTATTACAATAATCACACAAAATTATAAGTACAAGCAAGAACAAAATTGATGACATAAGTACATTAAGAGTCGTATTCCAGAACTCTATTCAATGCTCAAGTCAGGACTTGAGTATGATTTCAAGCACTGCAAATACGACTCTAATGGCAAGGATTTGAGTGTGATTTCTAGTGCTTTAAATCATACTCAAGTCTTGACTTGAGCATTGAGTAGAGTTCTGGAATACGACCCTAAGTATTTATATAATACTAATCAGTTGGTATAATTTATTCTTATTATTATTGACAGTAAATTGACAACGATAACACCAATTTTGTTTTATTGGATTATTTTAATTTGTCGATGATAGTTCTTATAATGATTTCGTTAACCTCATAAAATTGTAACACAAAGAAGAAGAGAACGTATGTGGTGTAAATTCAGAACGCACCTACACTAAAATAACAAAACTAAAATAAAAAACACTAAAATTATATTTTCAAATTTTCATTATAACCACTTCAGTTTCAATACTCTGGATTGGATTGAATTGTATTGTAATGAATTGAAAAGAAACAAAACATGAGCGAGTCTTGAGTCTAGCGGTGATGAAAAACTGATTTCTTAAGTATATTTCAACTGTTTTTCTTTCATCTACCATTTTCCTCGCTATAGTGAGGTAAAAAATTGTGTGTTTCGCGCGGCACCAAAGTCGTTTTGCGTCTCGTGCCTTGAAACCCTCACTACGCTCTGGAATCAATTTTCCAAACAACAACTTTGCAGTCTTACATAACAAATAAGTAACTATTATTTACCTATCTTTGAACTTTTACATAATGTGTATGACAATTCCATAGTATCCTAAGCCCTAACATATTTTATGTTCCGCCGATTCTTCAAAACAAAGTCTTTTTACCCGTTGCGTACGGGAATATACAAATTAAAACATCTAAACAGTTGGGTTAATTTGCAGATGCCCTTTGTTGTTCGTACCTTAACCATGTTGTGACTGTTCCGAAATATCGGGAGAATAAGAAGTAATTTGAAACCTGCAACTATATTTAGTGGATTTTGACTAACGACAAATACACTTGCTCTTTAAAAACATAATTGCCTACATCCTTAAAGTATAATTCTGTTGGAATAATGACAATACTATGGCAAAAGAGGGTAGAGAAATTAAATTGTATAAAAAATGTTTAGCTACACAAATGGTGTGAAACACTGTAGGTAATCTGGAAATTTTGAAAAATTTTGTTACACCAACAACTTTTTTCTGTGTAGTGACTGACAATAGTTTAACTTAAGCTAGAACGTGGACAATATATTTAAAGAAAACCCTTTAGATAAAACCTCAGAGGTTGGGTTTAGTTAATTTAAGTTCATAAAAGTCTATAATCTTTAAACTGTTGAAATCTATTTAATTTTATATATATATAGTACAGTATTACATACTTGAAGTTAAAGCTATGGTCTCGTTTTTATAAACAATCTAGTCAATATAAGCTAGATTAGATTAAGGCTAAACTAACATTAGTATCTAGACCCACTAGAGGTAACGCTTTAGCGTTCTGTGACTTATGACGTTTGTGATCACCTCTTCCATCTATGTTACGAAAATTTATTTTACAGATATTTTGATTTCGTACCATTACACTCCAGTAGTGAAGTTGATTTCAGTAGAAGGAGAAAAGGGAGAGAGATTCTGAACAAAGTAGAGTAGATTGGAGAACTTGCAATGGTGAAAAAGAATATAGAAGGAATGTTAGGCTAGTAAGTCCAAAGGCTGATAAAGAAAGATTAACGTAAGAAGCCAATTCGCAAAGTTACAATAAAATGTGCGTGCATTTTATTATTGACGGGAATGTCTTTAATGTTTAATTATTAGAATTCACAGCACCCTATATTCTGTTTGTATTTTAAATGTTTTCTCTTACACGGATGGGTTTCTCTTTATTAGAATCGCTTGGTTTGTTTTCTAGGTACAATATAGTACGTCTAATACTTTACGATGATACCTAAAGGTTAGAAATAACAAAGAGATGCATTGGTATTTGGCTTTATATAGAACATGTGTAGGAATTATACATGTTCAGCTCTTAATGTTTATACATAACGATGGTAGTGGTACATGTTAACGTATTACATGGAATCATGTGTGTAAAAGTATAACATGTTATATCGTATACCGTATTTGTAGATATATAAATCGCTGTTGAAAAAAATCTTTAATATGTAGACAATGTTTCGTGTTCAGAGCATATCTTCTTTGAGTCAGCAGGTTTGACTCTAGCTCATAGTATAGGTCGGATGAAAATTATATAGGTACTCGTATTTGTAAAGAAACATCTAGAAATTATTGTAATTAGTGACAATAAAGTATTTTGATATTATGAAAACGATTCTAAATGCATTTCTATACTTTGTATGTTTGACCTAAGAGAAGCTTGGAACCTACTGATTGCTGTTTTCGAGTTGTCTTACGTATTTGTTCGAGTATAAGGTAATATGTGTAAATTCAGAGCCATTCAAGTGTTACAGGCTAACATAACGGTTGTCTATATGTGTATAGTGGCGTATACTCACTATATCTGTAGTCACTGTTTAGTGCTCGCGTGTGTACTGGCCCTATTCGATGTTGGTTGTTGTAGTCAGATGTTTCAAATTACCTAGACATAAATATTTATTTTTCGTCTGAAATGTTGTCTATCTAGTTAGGTTTACTAAATCTTTACATGTTTCTGTGGGAATAAAAAGTAAAAATATTACTTTACGTCACGACGAATGCACCTATTATTACTATTATTACGAATGCAGTCAATTGACGTCAACGAGATGAAATTGTTTAGCACCGAAA